GGGGGGGGGGGGGGGGGTTGTAATTTTTCCCCACCACTGCTCCCTCCTGCTGTGTTGTAAATGCTGCGGACGGGGTTAATGGCATTCCAGTGTCAGGCTCCCAGACAGAAGTGAGAGCAAGACAGCTGTATTAATCAGATGTCCATTCACCACGGGCTTCTGAATACCAGGGAGGCCTGGAGGGGCAACCTTGCCGATTTGCATGTTGCAGCACTGGCATAAGAAAGTCACCCTGGATGCCATGTGCTAACAGCTGCTGCTTTCCACAGACCTCCCGTTCAGGGGACCGCCAAGTTTTGGCAGAGGTATACCATGGGGCATTTGCTGCCATCACCACGTGGGGTTACTGTAAGCATCCGAACCACAAGCTACAGTCGGAGCTGCCAGGGAAGCATGGGCTGCACCGCCCCTGACTCTATATGGTTCCCCCTCGCTCAGCCATGCGGGGCCCAGCTCAACCAGGGGATTGGTGCGACTCAGCAGGGCTCTGCTTATCGCTCGGTTGGCACAGACAGCACAGTCCCTGCAGTCAGGTCGGCACCAAAGGGCTTTCCTACACTGCACAGATATTATAGGATCATCTGCACAGAGATCCCATGGGGAGTGAGTTGACCTGTGGAGAGCACCCAGCCTGAGTGCATCCCCTTCCCGGGAGAGAGCTGCTCCAGTGGGGAAGGTTTGGTAGTCAGCATGAGTGGCAGCTCTGCTTCTGGGACTGCCCCGAGGAGAGGGGCAGCTCTGGTCTCACAGTGCCCTCATGTGAGAAGTACTGGCAAGCGCAGCTAAAAATGCAGAACAGCTGGGAACAGTACACCTATACTATCCACTTAGTTGGACCACAAGAGAAGCCATCAGTCTCACCCCTGCCCTGTTCACAGGGATCCTAAACTCACTTATGCTAGTGTTGCTTTTTCCTTATGCCATCAACTACGGCATAACCCAGGAGTAATGCAAATAGTGTGAGAGTGTGAGCAGGATCAAGCTCCTGTTTGTGCTGCACCAGCTAAGCTGTGCTGGGCTCCACACAAACACTGAACAGAAGATGCCTTCTCCATAAAGCTTACAGGCTATGCTATACCATATCAGATATCCCAAACGTGGCTTCTCTACCTGCCAGGGAGGTGGGGGAAACCAGTGGGTGTGCTTAACTACTCTTAAAGCAGCAGCTTTTCCTTTAAAGTGCTAAATATGAGGTAGTTTGGTCCCCCACGATACCAAAAATTACCCTGCCCACTGCCACAGGACATGAGACCCTCACCCTGCCTTGGCAATCAGTCGGCTGGTTGGGAAGATGGCATTAGATTACAAACCCACTCCAAGACCATCAATTGGAAATGATGGGGGTGGCATGCCGTGTCCTCTGGATATTTAGAGGCAGGGTAGTAGGCTAAAAGATCTCATACACAATTTGCGCATAGAGAGTTTTTGGAGAAAAAGAAGTCTAAAGCGACAGAGATTTTCCCTGGAGTTTGGCTAGGGCGGTAGAGCCAATTCAAACCTGTTGTGGTGACTGGGGAAAGGGTTTGCTGACTACAACTGGGGGCCCAGAAGCTATTTACCTAGAGCAACTTGGAAAAAACCTCAGAAATGGACAACGCATGCCCAGTGATTGTGGGAGAAGCTGGGGAGACGGCCTTAGGTAATCTGGTCTCGATGGCTCCCTTGAAGGATCCTTTTACTACCAGGCAACTTTGCGGGAACACTGCTGCCTCGTGCTAAGCACCCCTCACTCTCCTCAGCTTTCAGCCCAGGACGAGAGCCAGGGATATTTTCCGCAGACATATCTAGGGAGCTCCCTTCCAGCCGTGCAGCCAGCACCTGGTGTGCATACAAGCAGGGAGAACTGGGACAGGTATCACAAGGTCGAAGTACTGCAGCATCCCATCACCCAGTGCTGGCTAGCCCTGGAGCAGCTAGGATGAGACCACACCGCTGTCCTGCAAAGAGTCCAGCCCCAGGAAGATTAACCATTAGAGCAGCAAGGCCCTGGTATAGCCTTCCAGCCCTCAATGACACTCCACCAGCCTCTCCTGGATGGGGAAGGGGATGCTGCAGTCCACACCACCAAGGCACCTCCAGCACAATAACTGCAGGAGATGTTTTAAACCTCAGACTTCAACCTGCCCCAGGACTAGATACCACCCAAGGGGGATCCCGCTGAAGCTACCCACGAGGTCAGGCTACATGATCCTTCCCGGCCTTGCCCCTGACACAGGGGCCTTAGACACTGCCATGATCAAAAGAGAGCAGTGAGCAAAGGTAGCAGCATTGGTACCTCTCCTCATGGTCTGGAGAGGAGGCAGAAGAAGAGGCAGCAGTCTCTTTCTTGTGATGTTTCTCCTTTTCCTTCTTCTTCTTCTCCTTCTTATGCTTTTTCTTCTTCTTTTTCTTCTTCTCCTTTTTGGATTTCTTGCTGCTCTCAGGCCTACGCAGTAAGAGGGAGAGGCATGAGTAGTATGGACACATCTTTGAAACCCCAGACCCACTTGCCTTTCGACAGCCCATGGGAGCATGTTGGTAGGTCTCTCGACACATCCCCACGCCACCAGCAGCAGCAGGGAAGAGCAGAGGAACACGCTCCACAGTAGCCCACAGCCAAAAGCATTGAGGAGCCAGCAATCCTTCAGGGATATACAGCTCCCTCTGCCCTAGGCCCTCTTACAGTGTCTGCAAGCAGGAGGGAATGTTTACAGCTCTCTCTGGCATATAACCCTCCTCTATTCCCCTCAGACACGT